TATCCTTGCTATCCAGCTTTGGACTTTTTCTCTATGTTAATGATCTACATAACAAACACATCTGAACTAAGTTCTCATGGTCAATGACACTCAATCTTCTGCAAGTGCCCTCGCCCCTCCATAAGTAGGTGTGATAATGAAAGGTGTCAGGAATGCTGTGTGTCTCTCTTGCGAGGATTATCTAGCTCCCTTCTGGTCTATGTAGCAGATCCTAAATGAGGGGGCACTTTGGAAGACACCAGAAGGTAATGGAGTGATCACATGTCTGATCTCCAGAATCCTGGCAAGTGGGTTTGAAACTCTCCCTATACTGATACCAGTGATCCTTCCAAAATACAAGTTTTTGCCTCCTCAAAGTTCCCGCAGCCAATGTCAGGAAAAGGCTGTCCACAAAACACTCAGATTTTAAACTCCAGCTCTAAAGAGTCCTGGCTCCACTGGTTTCAACCACTCCCTACCATTGCTTATGGCCTTACACCTTTCCTTATTCCCTCCACTGGGCACACTAATGAATTAGTTTATAAAACAAATTCAGCAGCCCAAAAACTTAGACCCAAGTATTCCTAATTAAGCACCAGTTTACTAGATTTATCAGACTTTATGACTCAGCTTCCTCATCTGTAAAATGGGAGAGAAGGGGGTTACCTACTAAGGGGATTGTAGTCAGTATTTAATACATTCTCAGTCTTAACACTCTTGGGATGATGCCTCAAAACTAGTAAACAAAGAGTGGGGGTGGCAATACTATTAACAGAGAATTCTGATCATGCAGGGTTAGGTTCACCAGAATCTTCTCCACAAACCATGCCTGTTCTCTAAGGCAAAGGTAAAGACAGTTCTCTGTGTTCTCAGAGCCCATACTGGAAGATCTTCATGTCATTTCTACTCTATTTTTTCCATATCTGCCTGTCTGTCTCCTAAATCAAACTCTGAACATGCAAAAGATAGGAACCTACTCTTTTCCATCTTACTTTAGAACTTTGAAGAACCTTCCACAGCACCTTGAATATAACAGGCTCTTTCTATTTGCTGGGTGGAAATTAATCTGAGTAAAGGAACAGAAACAGGCAGCTGAAATGCACAGTATTTTGAAATTGCATTTGGGGATACAGTAATGAGAGCCCAGGTATTTAGGCTATCTAACCACTGAAGAAATACTCTCCATAGAGCTGGAGCAATAGTACAGCAGGTAGGGTGTTTGCCTTGCATGTGGCTGACCTAGTTTCGATTCCCAGCATCCCATATGGTCCACTGAGTACCACGAGGAGTAATTCCTTAGTGCAGAGCCAGGAGTAACACCTGTGTATCGCTGAGTATGATCCAAAAAGAAAAAAAATGCTCTTTACATCTAAATGAATGCAACTATTTGAAAATGGCTGTGGTGTGAACTTCCTGTGTCTGTGCCAGGAATGATCATGGGGTCCATGAATCTGTTTCAACTCTAGGAAATATCGTGTCTCGTGAATTTTCTTTTTTCTAGAGTTATCTTCCAGAAAGCTGCTGTTGAATCTCCAATGGGGTCCATGGGGCCGCCAAATTAAGCACCCTTGACTTCATTACTTAGAGACAGAGTTCTTGCCCTCCAAACCTTTAGAAGGTTCAAATAACACAGCTTCCTTTCCAAGGTAAACCTAGAAAGTTGGGAGAATTAGAATATTGGTGCTTGGTGTTTTCAAGGGAAAATTAGGACAGACTCATTAAATAGCTCCATGTTAGGAGACAGGAAAAGAAGAAAAATCCCAGGAACAGGAGAATATCCATTTCCCACTCCTGCTTGATGAACAAAACAAGGATTTTTAATCATGACACAGGAATCCCTGGCTTGGAACAAAGACTCTCACCATTTGTCTGTGAGGGTTGCTGTGTTGGGACACTAAAAAACATACCGCACCAGGATCCAGACACACAAAATGAGGCTGTTCATCTAATGACTGTGCAGAGAGTTAAGTGACACTTAAGAACCAAGGGAAGTCTGAGACCAGAATAAGGGGAGAAAGAGTCCTTAAGTGCAGAAGCCCAATGGCAATTCATGATTTTCAAGGATCCCTCACACAGAAGCCTGTTTTTATTTGCAGACCACAGTGGTAAATTAAAGCCTATCCTTATCCATTCTGGGCTCTCCAATTTCTCTTGGTGGTATTCCTATCACTGCCCATAGGCCACTAAAACCTGCCCACATTCAGAATGATTGATTCCGCCCAAGCAGTCAGCCACAGACTCTTGTCAAAAAAATACTCTTCAAGTGGGTCATTAGCTTCCTTTATAGATTTTTCAGGTCAAAAGGAAGAGAACCTAGAAGTCCTATCTCCGGTAGCCCAGAAAGAGAGTTTTGGAAGAAACGGGGAGACATGGAGACATGGTACTTGGGTACCACCAGGTGATACCCAAGTCTCTTTGTTTTCAGTCAATAGCGGGTCTAGCAAAATCAAGTTCTGTCAACCTCAGCACCAGAGCCGGTACTCAAACCAAATAACAGCCTAGTGTTCCTCATTTCTGCAATGGAGGTGAAGAAAACAAGGAGGCACCTGGTCCTATGCTTCCACCTCAGACAGAGTAGGTACAGCAGCAAGAAAGCAGAGAGACACTGAAAGGGTAGAGCTTCTAAGATTGGATGGGACAGTCCATGCCAACTGAGCTACCATGGAGACCACTGTGGTTGATAAAGCAAATTGGCAACAGTAGCCATGACCACAGCAGCAGCCCAAAGTCACCAGAGCCAGATACCCAAGTTCAGTAGTGTGGCAAGTTTCAGCGCTCTGCCTGACCCAGGATTAGCAGTTCTGATGGACCACAGAGCTGACAGCTCGCACCCAGGAGGGCTGCCTCCCTCGGTTCCTCTCCGACAGACAATGAAAGCAAGCCCCACTTTGAAAATTCTCCCCCATCATGCAAACTGACACAGGCATGCTTTTCAAAAACCCACAGCCAATCTGTTGATCATTACTTATTTACAAAGGCCTTCGGGCAGAAAGTCCTGTAAAAACCATACTCGATATGGTATACACTAGCTTTTTCTGCTTGTGGAAAAAAAAGTCCCCCCAAGGCTACCTCAAACCATCACTTTCTATTGCACATAAAATGTAGCGTGTAACACTAAAGTATTTAATATATATGGTATAATATATCTACAGGAAAGGCATTTGTGTAGAAGTATGTTACCCTGGATTTGGTAATTTGATGTTTTGCTGAAGGCTACGACTTAAAAAAGCTTCCACCTCGTACAGAAGACCTGTCATCTTGGTACCCAAGAGCCAACAGAATAAAGAAGTACCCTTAAGCAGCAAAACTTTGACACAGCTTTGAAGCATATGAAAACAGTATAACTCCTCAGAATTATTATTACTCAAGATCAAAGAAATGAGCCATACTTTACATAGCAAACAGGGACAGGGAATTTGGCTCCGAAGGTTTCAGAATTTTCAGACTTCTCTTTACTTATTTATTTGGTTCTCTAAATTTAGGCATGAGAAAGCGCCTGGGCTTTTCTCTACTTTAAATGGGCAAAACTATTAGCATTAGATAAGGAGATTATCCCAAGGTGAATAAATAGGAAATGAATGCTAGCACAACAACTGGCATCATAAAAATGAGGAGCTTGGCAGTTGGTGCATTTTATTCCTCCTCATAAACTGTAAACAAGCATGTAAATCAGCAACACGGAGCTAGGCTGAGTGAAGGGAAAGGCAGAGGACTGTTATGGAAACATCTAGCAGGAATCCATGGTCATAATGGAACAGGACATGAGGTTGGGCGAGTCCGCATTGGGAACCTGTGTTGTCAATCTCATTGAGAAGGACATTCTGTGTCTACATCCTAGAAAGATGGGAGATGGGGACTAGCAAATGCAAAGTGAGCTGGAAAAGGAGGAGAGATGGGGTGGGATGGTCATCATTGTTTTACTGCAATAAGGAAAGTGGGGAGGATGGTGAATGTCAATGAAAAGAACAGAGTTATGTCAAGATGTGTAGGTGTTCCCACAGTAGGATCTATTTAGAGATAACAGTGAAAATTTGAAACTGTTCGTAATTTCATTAGGTACTGGATAGTTGGGGTCTTAGAGGAAATAAGCACCAGGATTAGTAGATGAATGGAAGACAAACACAAAAGGCGAAATAAAAGACGAAGATGACAAGAAAAGGAATCTTCAGGATGTTTGAGCTATGGTTTCACTTGTCATTACTAGAGGAAGCCATAGGAAGAAAAGAAGGAAGGAAGGAAGGAAGGAGGGGAGGAAGGAAAGGAGGGAGGGAAGGAAAGAAGGGAGGGAAGGAGGGAGGGAGGGAGGGAGGAAGGAAGAAAGGAAGGAAGGAAGGAAGGAAGGAAGGAAGGAAGGAAGGAAGGAAGGAAGGAATCCGGGTAGAAAGAAGGAAGAGAGAGTATGCACACTGTATTTCATAATTAATACTGCTTTTAGGCTAAACAGAAATCAACTGCTTCTGAAGTTAGCTTTGGCAAGTCCACAGATTATTAGACTTTTTTTATCTGTCAAAGTCAATTAATGGAAATTTGATTTCAATCGACAGGATAAAAGGAAGGTAATCTTCAGGTTCATTTTTGATTGTGATGATACATCTCACATATGGCCTTAAGTACAGAAAACAGTCCTCGGAGGGACTGAAGCAGAAAGAGACTTGCCAGAGGCGAGCTCTCCACACGCACCCCTCTGATTGGCCGCCGCTGTCATTAGTGCCAGTGCTGTTTAAGAACTACACACAGACGGGACATGGTGACAGCTAGGACTTTAAAGCCTGTGTATTTTTCAAACAGCTTTTCAAACTGTTTTTCATGACAGAATTTTTTCAGCTCTATCATTAACCGCTGACAAGCTGACAGAATAAATACTTCAGCCTGTAAGACGCCCTCTAAGGATCTCATTCCCTCCCCGTCGAGCTTGCTGAAGAGGTGCTCAGGGCCTGGCACAGTGGGGCAGGGGCAACCAGAGAAAGAGTAAGAGCTAGAAGGGGAAGACTGTGGCCTCTGGGCCAGTCCCCTCTTCTTACCTCATCAGCTTGGGCGAGGTGCTGGGGGAGTTCCTCATGCCTCCATTCCGCTGCTTTTTTTTGGGTGACAGACTTGACGGCTGTTCATCTTCAACTGGAAATACAGGCAGCTCATGAGGTTATGAACAATTTGAGGGCAAACTGAAATACAGGCAAGATATCAAAGGACACGCACTCACGGCTCAGTCACTCACTAGGAATTTACCAGGGTCTTTTAGGACCCAGTGACAAAGATCAACTGTGTTACTCGGAGAGGCCTGGCTTAAAAACGTGAACGCAGCATCTTCACCTAACATGGCAGCATTTGAACATGCATGTTCAAGAGATTCAAACTGTTTGTTGACACCATGCCAGAGAAAAAAAGAAGCTCATGGTTTCTCTATACACACTCGATAGATAGTGAGAACACTATCTATACAGGCACATTCAAGTGTTATTCTTAAATCTCATTTTGGTTACTTCACTTCAGTCATTGCAGGGGTTTCTCGGTTAGCCCCAAATCAGAGCTGAAGTTGCATTTGAAAGAGCTGCATGACAGCTGCCAGCTTGCTGCTTCTGCAAATGAACCAGTTTAGCTGGCTCAGGATTCCTGCAAGCCAAATAAAAGAATCCTTGGAGAGAGGCAAGGACTTGATACCCTTAACAGCCAATGTTTCCACCAGTCAGGACTGGGAACACTGGTGCCTGTTGGCTCAGGAATCCCAGTCCAACTCAGTTCCAGTCTCTCCACTTCGCAAGAGAAAGGGCATGCAGGGTCACACACACTGGGATCTTTTCTGAACTCATTGGGACAGGACCAGTAGTGCGGAGAGCCCAATAGGAGAAGACACCCAAATGAAGGAGGTTGCACTGATATTGCTAGAAGATGGGGGAGGGAACTGGAGAGGCCACCATAGAGTACCAGAAACTAGATTGCTAAGCAATATGAAGCTCAGCTCACAAGCACTACTGCATACTACTTTTTCCCAGAGACACCCACCAATAAGCTTTGACGATATGTTAGACTCTATCATGCTTTCATTTTTTTTCTCAAAGAGAATTGCTTGGTAATTAGCAGATGCATAGCCAGTCTGTCACCCAAGGGCATGGGCAGCTACATTCTTGTCCCACCACCACTTCCCATTCACAACACAATTGAGGTTAAAGCTGTAATGTCAAGAAAGAAAAATATGATTCTTGGATTCTTAGAGTTGACTGCAACGCAAAGTGAGAGAAAGCACCCCGGAAACTCAGAATGCACCGCAGTTACCTTAAAGCTAAGAAGAGAAATATTAGCAGTGATGACATCAAAAGAAGCCTGATATAAGTTAATGGTGTACAAGTCTTAGAGTAGGGGAGAAAATGCCATCTCAGCTACATTATTCAGGAAGACCATAGCACAGCATGCAGTCTGTGGTATTTTCCTCCAAACTCTATGAAGTTTAGTATGTTACCATGCATGATTCCAAGGGATTGGAATAATCCAACTGCTCTCCAAACCTGCTTCAGAGTATCACACTTATGACACTACCCTACTCTGTTGTTAATCTGAGATGTATAAATCCTGGTGGACACAGGGAACAGAAGCAAAAATGCAATTTGAAGTGAGAGAAATAGCAAAAGAAATGAAGGTTAAAAAAAAATCACACCTGAAAATGCCCTCAGCCTATTCATTCTACCACCTGCTCCCCCTGTGTGGTCCCCAGAGGCCCACACTCAAGCTGCGACCCTATCTGTCACTTAGAGCTCCAGGCAGGAACTATGCAGCTGGGAGGGTATGCATCTTATCAGAAGTGAGTATCCACAGCAAATCACATAGAAACTAAACAGCACTTAAAAGATTAAAGGAAATAAATACAAGCCACATAAATGGTATTGAAGAAAATCACTCGAGTTGATATGCATCTCTCGGCAAACAGGCACTCTGAGCTTGACCTGAATTCATCTTCCTTTCATAGAATAGGGAGGCAGGCAGACCAAGTAATAATGAATAGAAGGCAGTGAGATATTGAGACACAGAGAGAATGTGTGTGTGTGTGTGTGTGTTAGTATAGAAACTCTTGAATTGACGTATTGACTCCACCCAAAATATGAGGTTACTGTTTAATAGGACCACTTGCTGAATTAAGTAACTTGTGTGTTTGCATGTGAATGCAAATTCTCTTCTCTTTCCTACAAATCTTCTTCCAGTTAGAAAGGTCTTTTACCTAACCTACTCTTTCATAGCTAGATTTTCTCAGGACCTAGAAATGTGACCTTGGTTTTGTCCAATTCATTATGCAATGAGTCAACAGTTTAAAACCTATTCACATTCGCAGATATTCTTTTAGAATCTCTGCCTTAACTTTTGCTTCACACTTACCCTTGGTCTGCAATAAATAAGGCTCTTTGATTAAGCACCCATCATCCTTACACCTTGTCACTGTCTGCTTCCCTGCCGTGATCTTCAGATGGAAGACATGCAAGTTAATACCTGTTAGCCAGCTCCAGGGAACACCTCATTCTGGTGCTAAAGTTATGCCTCTTTCTATGCAAGGAAACTATTTATTTTCATTGCAATTCAGAGAGATCATCCATCATAATCATACTGCATTTAAATTGGGATTTGTTCTCTTAAATGAAACCTGTGTTCAAAGCTTTCCTCCTGCACTCACAAGCCTGAAAATGCAGATCCTGCTCCCTGAAGAGATGAGGGGAAATGTCTCCAGCTTAAATATAAGAACGCTACGTAATGGAGACCATTACATGTGGCTCAGATCCCACAAGAGAAGCTGTGATGATTTCTTTCTCCTAAGGACGATACAAACCATATTTAATTATTAGACTTTATATGGATTCTATCAATTTCTGCATATTTAAAGGAAGCAGGTCTAGGAAAACTTTTAGTTAAGCTATAAAATATAATTCCTATCTTGTGGCTTCTGTGCTTACATGAGAGGAATAAAAATGAAATTAAAAAGAGACTAAAATTGACTTACTTTCATGAAAGACAAATCTATTGAAGTAATGGGCCACTATCTCAAGCCAACACACATTTACAGGCTCACATTTAACTGATTTTTTGGCTTATTCCCACACACTTCTATCACCAGCACTTTCACTTGCTCCATGCTTGTAGAAGTTACAGGAAGATATGATTGTTGAAAGGAAACTAACTTAACCAGCTTCTTTAAAACACAAACAAGTTCAGGAATTCAATGCGGAATTTTTATAGGAGCCGAACTCCTTCCAGTCTCCAAATACCCATAAAATTCAAGGACTTGTTTTTGCACATCCCTAAGTATAACACTTAATGTGCTGTTGTAACTTCCCAGGGCTCGCCTGTCTAATAGGCACTGAATCTAACAGTTTTACAGTTTGGGAAGACTCAGTGCTAGAAAAATGTCAGGCAAATCTAATGAGGCTTCAGATCCCTGGGTTTGTGCTACAGTTTAATTTAAAGCTACAATGATGTTTTAACATGTTTGCTTATACTTGACTAAAGAGGATTCATTATTTCAATGACATAACCTCCACACAATGTTCTGGGAATTGATTTAAGATGTGGCGGTAATTCCAACAGTCTTAATGCAGAGTTGAACATCTGTAGCCACATTTTAGACTACTTTTCATCGGCATTCTGTTTTCAAGCAAAAAGCAAGGCAACATCTTCCAGAAACACTGGCCAGAACTTTGGGCTTACTTCAAAATAATCATATATTTTACTTGATTTAAAAAAAAAAAACTCCTTTGTAATTGGCCTATCCAGCTTGCTAAAGTTCGGCAATGCCTCTTTGTGAAACTTCCAGACAAATAGGGCAAAATTCCAAGTTCCAACTTCCTGAGTAGTTCCATGGCAGCATGGATGAAGCTGACACACACTCCAGCTTGCCGCCCATGCCCTGTTACCTCATTGGGGCTCAGGGCAATGATGCCCTTTGAGACCGGAAGGTGAATCTGTTGGCTGGACTTGAAAACTAGATCAAAGCAAATAAACCCAGAAATGTAGTAAAAGGCAAAGAACCCATAAATATGAGTCAACTGGCTATCTCCATTACGTTATTAATCACCACATCTGGAAAAATCCACATCTGCACGCACTTAGCAGGTCATTAGTAATGTCCTATTCACCCTGGAATCACTTGGAGTAAGGCATGCAAAGTGTTTGAATGCAAAGTCATCCAGCTAATAGCGCTTCCCACTGAAATCCTAGGCAAGGTGTGAGTTTGGCAGTGGTGCGGGTGTGGGTGTGGTAGTTTGAATAAGTATTTATTGTTTTTTTATGGGTTTCCTCTTTGGTACTTTGCTGCCCAGCAAGTTTCATGCATGCTGAAATTCAAACAGTAGCGCATCTTTCTTCTTGGCAAGTTAGGGTAGCACACTGCAGGTGTGGGACAGTTGTTAAAACTGGGATGTGTCCCAGTGCTCTTTCACCTGGCTCAGTCACAAGCCGAGAATTGTGAGCTGCGATCTTGAACTCAAATGGATCTCTGAGATAGCGTGATCTAGCTTCACCCTTGACTGCCAAATAATAACAAGAAAAGAAAATGGCAATTAATCTTTTGTGAAATTTTGCATCAGAAAAACTCCAAGCTAGTTTTAAATTAAACAGAGTTATGGCTTTAAAGTAAGATGAAGATTTCTCCCTCACAGCTGAATTGCAGAGGTTTAGTTTTTTGTTTGTTTTGTTTTTTTCATTTTTATTTATCCTGGTGACTTCTTGAGGTTTTGTTGTCATGTTTTTGTCATCGATGTCAGAAGGAATAGTGACAGGAGATAATCTTTTTGTGTGTAATAATTTCCTTCCATAAGCATAAAGTTTTCTCTCCTCTCCAACATACACAGACAAAGAAAATGGAAAACTCAGTTTAACTGCAAGGCTAGACCTGTTATCTCTTGAAGCTTGCTGAAATCCATCAAGCAAAATTCTCATTATATTACAAATCCACCACTCTTGATATTAAACTATCCTTTTGTAAAACATCAACTGATGGTTTGGTCAATTCCCCAGGGGTGTGATAGTCCTGCTTACTTTGCACAAAACGCCCTGGGTTTGCCACTCCTAAAAAAAGTGACATGGCGCATCTCCTTATATGGAGATTTTTCAATAAAAAGTGGTTGTGTGTTTCCAGGCCTTCAGGATGTGGGTGTTGGTTGACTAAATGAGGAGGTAAGTTGTTGAACTAGAGAGCCAGTTGTGGGATGCCTGTTTTGTGTGAGTTTATCAAACTTCTCTCCTCAAGAAAACCATACAATGGTCACAGGAATACCTAGACAGACTCTCCAAATTACAATATGCAATCTACAGGCTCAGAACTCCCCAGATGATCCATGTCTAGAATATAACCACCTAGGACTTTGATCAGAAGTCCTGGGATGGTTAACTCAAAAGATCTTGCAATGGAGCCACAAAACAACAATCCCCGGGTCACAGCATGGAAGAGCATCTGCTTTCCAGAAATATTTCCTGTCTTGTAATCATTGACTACCAGGACCCAGGCTGTCTGTCACAAAAGCAGACTGGTAAAAGGGTATACAGATGTTTCCATCAGCAATGAGGACAAACAGCATCAACAAATGCATGATAAATAATTCAACTCTGTGAATTGACATTTAGGAGCAGTTGACTATTGTTTCTAGACATCTCCTGCCTTGGGGAAGGGATGTGCCCATCAGTGAGGGTCAGCAGCTAAGTGTGACTAGGACGAGGTAAGTCAGGCACTGGCACCAAGGTCTTTGCCTCTGGGATCAGTGGGCAGCTCAAACTTTCAAAACCATGATCCTGGAAAGTTCAAGTGGTTGATGTCCTTTGAATGCAAGTTTCTGGTCTGACAAGCTTGGAATAACATGTGATACGAGGAAGTGTGGTGAACATTTTGCAGTATTATTGATAAGATAAACCCATAAAGCTGGCTTGGGGGTAAAAGATTATGGTGAATAATAACCCCAGGGATAATGAAAATGTGAAGGATGTGCCTCCTAAAATTAATGCTAACAATAATATTATCTCAAACACATAACATATATAACTCTCTACAATTGAACAATTACTTTATCAGGTAAGATAATTTCATGACTTCTAGTGGAGAAAAAGGAAGCACATTTATTTGAAAAACCTAGTGGCTGTAGATTGGAAGAAACTTCTTTATGTAAAACAAGGATGAAAAAGTGATGTCTAAGTGGGCTGCCCTGCTAGAGCACAGACACAGGGAAAGCACCGCCCATGGCAGGCTGAGGGGGCAGGGAAGGGGAGGATTGTTGGAGCTTTTTTCTTTCTGGCTTTTGTAGAGCTAATAGAAGAATGGGAGGGAGACTTGGAGGAACAATAGGTTATGTAGAAGCTAATCACAGGGTATATTTCTGGCTCTATTCACTGCCTGGGAAACCTGAATTGTGTAAGTTTGAGTCCATCAACACAGTCATAAAAGAATTCAGCTTCTACATGGGAGAGAGGAAAAAATACTATATAAATACATTAACAGAATCCACATGACCTGGGATACAATGTTTTCTGTAGAAACACAGAGGCTTCAGGGGACCTCTGAAATTTGGAATAAGGTAAATGATAGGAACCTATAATACTACCCTCCCCCCCCTCCCCAATCTCCAAACACATGCCCCAGGCCTCCTGGTCAAAGTCCCCATGTCCAGAATCTCAGCTCATGTATTTTCCCCAGTTTTGACTTGAAATAATAACTCCCCCAGTGCTCTGCTCTGCTCACTATCTGGCATAAAACTCCTTTTGGAGACCTAATTCCTTTGATTCTTTTCTTTCTCATTTTACTCCCACTTGGAAGAGAAGGTTTCTGTCACCTCCAGGACAAAGTCAAGTCTCCATCAAATGTCACTAGGTACTAGCCTCTCAGAAACAGAAGTGAACCACTGACAGGTGAGTTAGAAGTGCGACAGTAACCCTGGGTTGTTGCGATAAATTTGGGTGAGTAGCAGAAGATGGAAGACGACAGAGATCTTAGACTCAACTGGAAAAAATATATACACAGGACTCCAACAAAAACAGCAAGAACAGCAACATGTCTCTTCAACTTCTCCTACCTTCTTGCCTTACAACAAAGACATGGCAAAGGCTGTCTTTGTTGTAAAAAGCACCCCTTTTTGTAGACTCACAGGTGGAGTAGGTGCTTCAGAGTAGGCATGAGACCCGACAGTGCCTGGCACCAACAGCTGTTTTTCCATTTCTATTTCTGTGTCACTGTCCTCCCACTGTTCATCTATTTTCTCTAGCGGGCCCAGCAACATCTCCATTGTGAGACTTTGTTAATACTGTGCTTGGCATATCGAATACCATGGGTAGCTTGTCAGGCTTTGCCATGCAGGCGAGATACTCTCAGTAGCTTGCCGGGCTCTCCATGAGGGCTGAAGGAATCGAACTCAGGTTGGCCATGTTGGCTGCATACAAGGCAAATGCCCTACCTGCTGTGCTATCGCTCCAGCCCAGGGGCCAGTAAACTAGCCTGCAGCATGTTTTGTATAGCACACAAGCTAAAGATGGTTTTGAATTTTTGTTTTGTTTGGTATGGGGGTCACACTTTGTGATTTTCAGGGCTTAGTCCATGCTTTGCACTCAGAGATGACTCCTGGTGGGGTTCAGATGACCAGATGGGGTGCCAGAGATCAAACTGAGATCTGCTGCATGCAAGGCAAACAGTATACCTGCATTTCCCCAGCTAAGAGCTTTCTAAGCCCTAGTTTTCACATTTTTGTAAATTATTATGGGAAACGGTAAAGACGATGGTGATTTCATAGCACATTAAAACAATATGAAATTCAAATTCCAGTGGCTATGAAGTTTGAATAAAACAGGGCCACAATCCAGTGTTTCCTACTGCTAAACATTACTCTTGCCCTGCCAGAGAGTTGAGTTGTGGTGATAGACACTCTGGAATTGACTTGGTTTAAGGTTTTTCTTTTCGAGCTGATACTTGCTAGAAAAAGTTTGCTGATTTCTGCTCTCATTTCCTGTCTCACACATCTTCAGGTCTCCAGTTTTCCACAAGGATATTGCCCAGCAATAGTGAATCTGGCAAGGGACCCAATTCATGGCATGAATTGGGGGGAAGGGAAAGGAGTAGATTAATGACTTTCATATCTCTGAGGTCCCTTGCATTGAGGGGCCAGATCAGATGAGGTTCCCACTCCCCCCACTCAAGTTAAGTTAGATCCATCCACCCAGCCCTTTGAGGAACAAGGTTAGGCACGGGATGAGCAGTCCCATGAAGCTGTCATTATGTGTGGCAAGTCCACCTGGCAGGAGTCCCATATGCGACAACAGATTAACCATTAGGCTAGATCTCTGGAAAATATACAACTTCAACCTTTCCCCAGCTAGCTCAGAGCAATATATAGATGATTATTTCAACCGTCAGCTGCCGCATAGATTTAAACCCCTGCACAATAACTCCTGGATTCATCTGCCCCTTGTCAAACTCACACAGCTTTAGTTAGAGGCTACATGGTGTGGCAGTTGCACCGTGAATCCAGAATGATCCAGACGGCGGCTGTCTCTTTGTTAACAGGAAAGCAAACTGATGAATTTGTAATGCATTTCTTATTGAAGGTACTTTCGGAAGAGAAAATGCGCTCCATCAGTTTGGCTAAAATTTCACGTATACATGATTATGGATTTAATCAGAACATCTCTGTTATTTTCATGAGGAAATAGATAGTTCCACATCCATCCCATTAAAATCACTTTAGGCCAATGAATTATGTATTTATGAATTTATAATTATCCTTGATGTTCCCCTCCTGCAGTATACTTAATAAAATAATCAGCTGGAGTCTACAAAGCAAAGTTGCTTATTAGATACAAGCTGATATATACATATGCTGAACTCCATGCGTGTCTTTCAGTTGCAGGTCTAAAATTATCATTGTGAATACTGTATCACTGTATCACTGTCCTCCCGTTGTTCATAGATTTGCTCAAGCGGGCCCAGTAACATCTCCATTGTGAGACTTGTTACTGTGTCTGGCATATCGAATACTTCACTTCCAGGCTTTGCTGTGCGGGCGAGATACTCTTGGTAGCTTGCCAGGCTCTCCGAGAGGGGCGGAAGAATCGAACTTGGGTCGGCCATGTTGGCTGCATGCAAGGCAAATGCCCTACCCGCTGTGCTCCTTGTGAATACAGGGATTCTAATTTTCAACTCAGACACTTAACAAAGACAAAATGGACTGTAGTGGAATATGTGAAGACTGGAAAGAAACTCTTTTTCAAGTATGGTTTATTATAAAAACAGGTTTGGATTTATTATAGGACAAAGCAAGCCTCTCTGAAATACTGAGAAAATTCCTTTATGGTCTGCACATTGCCCGGGCACACTGAAAGTACCATAGAGATGCCAAGAGTTGCCCATTTCCTACTGTGCTGATCATGCAAACCCCATCGAGCTGAGAAGTTCAATCTCTAAGTGCCAACATAAAAATGATTACCTAGCCTGTCTTTATTTTAGAATTCTGTTGTTTTGCTCATCAACGATTTTTTGTGTCAATTTTATTTT